CGGGAGACTCGTCTGGCTTTTACTTGTGCTCGTAAATCTTCGTCCACACTACTTCAGTTGCTCGCCAAGCTTCGGCGCGTGAGGATCCGTATATTTACTCGTAGTGTGTATAAGCTGTAGTCGTATTTTAATTTACTGGCTATTGTTTTTAAATTAAGAAATTAAAAATTGCTTGTCTCGTGACTTGCCATATCGTCCACATTACTCGCGAGCATAGCGAGTCACACGAGCACGAGCACGAGTAATGTGGACGTGCCTTTAGATCCCTCTGTTTTCTCCCGTATTACTTTTCCATTTCTACATGTTATCGGAGAGCAAGTCTCGCCAACGTTTAACGCCATCTCCCGTGAATNTACTGAAGTAATTAAGCACTACGCCATGAAGACGTGTACTGGCGTGTTGTATGGCTCCGTCGTTCTTAACCGCAGCACTAGATGGAAGTGAGTGGTAAGCTTCACGCTCCTGCCACTTTACCTTCTCTGAAACAGACCGCGGTATCTATTTTACACGAGGTTGGTTGGGGTTCACAGCTGATGAAGAAGCCGTGAAGTATAGATAAATCTGTTGATCCTGCAAGAAATCAAACCTCGATCCTTCAGTCGCCCAGCCCATAGCTTAACCGCTGTACTGACAGATTTCCCGACTCTTGAAGTGGAAGAAGAAAACACAGTGAATATTGTACGTAGGCATCCCATTGCATAAATATATCAATTATTTTACACAATATATATTTCCGTCAGTAATGCAACAAAAGGTCTTAACCGTTTAATTCTTTATTCACGACATATTTCGCCCATACAGGGGCACGATCAGATGTCTGCCGCTATGCTAAACCGTTGTACTGTACTGCATGTCACAAATGCATGTGGATACTTATCGGTAGCCCTTAATTCAAATTAAAATTACAAATTCGTTTTAAAATAGGTCAATCCTATTAAATTTAATAACCCGTAAAATTCCATGGATATTTATCATGCATATCTAGATATAAAATGTGATTAATTAGACACTTTATGTAACTTATTATGCGTGGAATATATTGTGACGTGCCTGATGAGAGCCGTGGTGTCCACGGTGGCCTGGACGCTGTGACAGAGCGGATATACCCGTGCTTAAACTACGGTCAACAAACGTAGCGCTTACATAGAAAGATGGATCCTTCCCCTCGTCGAAAAGAGGACCTAACTTTTAAAATACGTACATGGCTTGGACAAAACAAAAGTCTTGGTCACAGATCTCGATGAAACCTGAAGACAAGAATGACTGTGCAAGCGAGAGCCAACAAGAATTTAATCGACCTCCAAGGAAAGAGACCAGTCCGAGTCTGAGATTGTCGTGAGAAGGTTGTCCCTTGGCGAAGGCGTGGGAGGCGGAGGAGTCCCACTGTTGGAAGCCGTTGCGTAGCAATGCTCTAGTTACGGTTTGCAAGAGCCCAGTAAATCCAATTACCAATCCAAAACCCCGCGTATATTCACTCTAGCACGCTACAAGATAAAAAATACAAACAAAAGTTTAGATATAAATTCGGAAGGGATGATACAATTTCGAAGACCTAAGCGAGGTGGGAGCATAATACTAAATCTGGTTGTAAAAACAAGATGTCAGAGTTCGGATTGAATAATCTGGCTGAGAAGATGAATTATTCGTGATGGTTCTTGAAATCAAATTGTAGATTCTCAAAAGGGACGTGTGTATTCTTACAGGAGGTTGAAACGATTTTTTTTTAATAAATTGCAAATGATGTCCATTTTAACAAAATGAATGACACCTGTTCGCTGCTGTGAATGTCTGATACTTTCCTTGTGCGGACGATACAAGTAAACTACCGATTTGTCACGTATCCAACCAGATTACATACAAGATTTAACAGAATGAGGAAGAGGTGTTCGATACCAACGAACTGAGGTGCTCTGTAGTTGACAAGAGACCACTAAAACTGTGGCATCTTCATCTATATTTGATCCCATGAACTGTATATTTTCCTCGCAAAGAGGAGACAAGAACATCTAAAATTCAAGTTGAAGTAAGTTTCGTTATGCATTATGCTTTAATCCTCATAAAAAGAACAATAAAAATTCGCAGCATTTTTCAAATTAAATCTAACCTTCAGCATGCTAGAGTTGAGTTACAACTCCTCCCGTTCCAATATTCGCAATCCCCCCACCCCTAAAACAGGCTCGAAACGTAATCTCATTCCACAGAGGGTGTTAGCGACGAAATTACAATGGAATGGATTTAATTCAAACCAAAGTTTGTTAAATCCAAATTGCGTTATCCAGAAGTACGAACCGTCTTGATGAAATTTGTTTGCACAGTAATTCTCTTTTCCCACGAACTGCATTATCGGCTTAAGCTGCATAAATCCGCAAAGAGAAATACATCTCAACACCCGCAAATATAAAGAACTGTGAAAGTTCCTATTTAGAAAACATACATTGAAATTGGGAAGAGATTAATTCTTTCTTTCGTGAGAATAATATATCTACTGGGTACCATAATATTTATGTGTTCTTAAAATGCATTATATAAATGTGACGGTCTTGTCTGTCTGTCTGTCCGAATGATTCACCTCAGAATCTATTCTACACACTTCACTTTAGTTTGACATTGGAGTGTACACCAAAAGATAGCGAATTCATTAATTTAAATCTACATCGGCCGAACATAAAAACTGCCCCAAGCCAGAATCTGTTATTCTCTCAAAAATCGAGTCACTGATCGAACAGCTATAAAATAACATTAACCGCTGATACGATGTACAACTTTTGTAAGATATAGTTTTCGGTATAATGCTGTTATCGCGTAAGGCTGACAACTTTGCAGCCATCTGTGAGCCGATTGTCTAGAAAATGTGGGAGCCTCGACGTCTCACAATCCTATGGGCCTCCGCGGCCTGTTACAGGGATAGCTTTACTTTTTTTGCCTCTTTCTTTCTTTCTAACTTTAGGCTTAAAAGACAGTTGTCTTACGACCATGTCTTAGGCACAGCGTGGTTGCTATGGAGTCATAAGCAATCCAACTAAGTTACCCTT